CTAACAAGTCTGTGCTAACAAGCGCCCCAGGTAATTCTTACACACGTGGATAAGACTGAAAAACACTGATATCATTTCTTCCCCAAAAGGGAACAAATCAATAGCAAAAACACATGAGACTCAAGCTCTGCACCACAGTCTCCACTGCTCCAGTTCACTCTATGAGAAGCAGGGGAGGACTGCCAGTTCTAATATTTACAACTAGTCACTAAATAATAACTAACTAGTAAGTTGGGTAACTTCTTTGAATACCAGTCTCCAAACCTGAAAGTCACTTTTATAATCCTTGCTCAACATGGTATTGATAAATTAAATAATGCCAGACTTTGGAGGGGGTTCCAGGAAATGAAGGCTTTCCAGAGACAATAAAGTTTTTTTTTTTCCTGAGAAATAGCCCCTCTTCCTTGAGTCAAGTTCGCGATGTTTCCAGCAGGCAACGGAGCTGGTTGTCTATGACCCGGGCAGGCGAGTGAAGTAGGGGTCCTTCGGTGTCCTTTTCAGGCTTTTAATCTTTCTGCACCACTTGTAGTGAGGCAACCGGGTGCAGGGCAGGAGGGATGGGGCGGGGAGCCAAGAGGCTGCAGGCCTCCTAGCCCCCCCTCCCCCCCCGCCCCCCCGCGAATGTTTTTCTAGTCTCTCCATGGCTCTACAGCACCCGGCTGCCCAGCCCTCTGCTGCCATGCCCTGTTCTCTGCTCACCGCCCTCGGGATCACCGCCCTTATATGCCCCACGGCGGCTCAGGTGCGCCCACTCATGCCGCCCACACCACGCTCCAGGTGCTACCATCAGGCGCGGGTGGAAGCCCACAGGCGTCCATCATTGATGCTATTGGTGGGAGGGCAGAAAAAGCCTGATCACTTCCATTTACCCTACACAGTGGCAACTTCCGGTTAGCCTGACACGTGTTAGCATTAGGACCTTCGACGGAGAAAATCATCGATGCCTGTCTTGAGTGCTGAATTCCATCCCCTTAAAAACAGCAACAAGGGAACGGCCAGGGTGGTGGTTCTCATTTGGATTGGGGAGAAGGAGTATCCCACAAGAGCCACTGGGGGAAAGGTTTCAAAACACACAGCCTTCCACCTGTTGCTGAGTCTATTCAAATAGAAAAGCAACCTGGAGAGTTGAAAGATCCACAATTTTTAAGCAGTCCAGGTGATTCTGATACATTCCCTGCTCTAGAAAGATTCTTGGCCTCCCTCAGGTAACCAGATCCAGTATCTCACACTTTTTCCTGCCAAGAAGTTCATATATTTACATCTCACTCATTTCATCTTTGTGTAGCAATCACAGAAGATAGAGGATAATTCATAAGTATCTCACACATGTATGCACAGGGGAATGTGAGTAATGACCTTATTCTCAGGGGCTGGGAGGCAGCTGGTTGGAAACCTCAGCATCTCCAGAGTTCACATAATCTTCTGACCAGATGTTTCCTACACTGGTCAGAGCAGGGCATGAAGCTCCCAGTGGAGGGCTCTCTGGACTCAAGGCTTGTCCAGCTGGATCAGCTGCAGGTGGAGCAAATGGGACCCAAGGGCCCCATCAGGTCACCTTGCTGAGTATGACTCAGGCCAGCAGCTCTTTATTTCTTCCTGTCTCTCCCACTTCCCACTGCTCATCACTGCAGGCAGCTGCCAAACCCGGGAACAAGAATCAGGCAGGGGGAGGGGGTAGTTCTTAATGGATATTCCATCTCTTCAGTGGTTTGGGGTCTGGCAGAGATAAGCCAGACCTGAAATATATTGGCTCCTCCCTCTGATGTATTTCGGTTAATGCACTAGCTGCCGAGAAGCAGTCATGCTTAGAGCAACAAAATCAATTCCCCTGGTCAATCCAACTTAAGCTTAACCCCCGCAGCTCCCTTGCTTGCTCTCTCTCTCTCCCCCTAGCATTCTCCCTTGTCTCTCACCCTCTCTCGCTCTAGCTCTCTGTCTCTGACTCTGTTCCTCTCTCACACTCTTGCTCTTGTCTTTTATCCATGGAGTTCAAAATGCTGTTCAGACTTGGCTTCCTGCCACCGGCAGAACCTGTCTCTGAGGACTCACACTCAAGAATGCAGAAGACCATTGGGTCTTGGTCATGTGCTATGTGCTCCCAGGAAATGGGATCTCTCCAAGGAGTCCTCACCATTCATTCCCATCTGACATAACCTTGATAGGCCCCAGTTTCTAAAGAGGAAGCAGGAAGACTCTTTGTCGGCTGGTGTCACAGACAGGGAAGCAATGGAGAGCTAGGACTCTGTTCAGTGTCACTCCTCTGCCTGAAAATAAACTGTATAGAACATCTTGGGTCTCGACTATGTGATTACTGTCAAGTGGCACATTATTCTTGAATTTTAAAGAACCCCATCTAGAGTTTTTGTCAAATTCTTTTGAGAACATAATAATCACCACTTTAAATAGATTACATGCCATGATGTAAGTGAAAGTGCTTTTTAAATTGTAGAAAATTCAATAAATAGTAAATATTGTTCATATTTGTGGGATAAAGGAATGGAAAGAAGGAGGAAGGGGGGAAGCAAGGGAGGAAAGTCCTCATCCAAATATGATCACTGCTCATGTTCTTTTGAGCAACAGTCACTGGGGAATATAGAATGACAACATCAGCAAAGACAAAATTGGTAGCCATGTTGTAACTTCCTCCATATGACAGCTGCTGCTCAGCCAAAATGCTTCATTTGGTCTGAGTATCTAAATCTCCATTACACACCCAAGTCTCCCCTCAAAAATTTCCATTGAGTTCACAAAGCGAGGAGGCAAAATCTACCAAAATGCATGCTGCGGAGGGTCGTTCACATTTTGTGAAAGTCCCAGTCAAATCCAAAATGGGAAGTGAGCTGGAAGCAGGAGCCAGTTAATGTAGCATCTGATGGGAGCTCTAGCTTTGGACCTTCTACAAACTAGCCCTTCCACTCTCTCCACAGGGAACTCTGAGAAATGCAAGTGAAGCTAGGTTGAGTCTCTCAAGTCTGAAGAGAACACTGGGTTCTTAAGCCCTTGAATGAAGGTCTGGAATAAAAGGAAAGAAGGTGAACAAACCCGGCTTTCACTATCCAACCTAGCCCCACACAGTAGACAGTGCCTTAGTTAATGCCTTAGTCATGCATTCATTCTTCTTGCAGTTACTGAATAGCTGCTCAGTGCCAGGTACTAGCTGAGCCCTGGGGCTATAAATATAAATTGTAACTCGCAAGGATCACCCCTTTCTCCTGCCAGCCAGTTGTCACTTTCTGAAATAATGTGTCTATGGAAGTGCTGAGCTAGCGACAGCATACCCCAAAATAGAGGTGAGAGGTAAGCCAAGTCCAAGGTTGACTTGTGATATCCACAGAACCCCCAAAGGGGGATAAAGGCATTGACATAGACAAGCCTTTGTAATCGGTTTTGTTCCATGGTTTTCAAGGGAAGGAAATAAACTCATGTAAGTACTTTTTAATCCAGAAGACCATTAATAGCTAAAGAATAGGAAATTGTAAAGATAAGGGAGGCAGAATGGAGCCTAATTAAAATTAAACACTTGTACAATGAATCTGAGAAGACTCAGAAAACATTTACTGGCAGAACAATACCAAAAACAACCTGCTACTTTTCATAAGCAGGCCAGGAAACCACCATACTTTAGTTTAATATCTCTCAACTTGGTGTTAATGACATTTTGGGCTCAATAATTTGCTGCTGGGAGGGGGTGATGGCATTGTTTTCTTCTTGTGCTCTCTGCGATATTTAATAGCGTTTCGCATCTATTCCCATCGGATGTTCATAGCATCCCTCACCCGTGTAGTGATAACCAAAAATGTTCCCAGAAATTACTGAATGTCACCTGCTGGAATGGGCTGAAAAACCAACTTCTGTTGAGAACCATTTTCTTAGCTCATCAATACAATCTCCCCGCAAGCACACCTGATTGCAGCCACTGGAAAATTTGGGTCTGTGCTGCACTGCCACCAAACAAGCCCCAGGGAAGAAGAGAAGTTAACACAGCAAAGATCACTGTTCTTTGCCCAAGACGACAAAGTGATTAACTTAGCTTGAGTCAGGATTAAGTAGGATCTAAGTTCCCTGTTCCTCTCTCCTACAAGGTGGTGCTAGTGGAGATAATAATGATGGTGAATTGAATAATAATTCTAAAACTCCATGACCAATAATATACCTCAGCAGTAGGTTCTACTAGCATTTTCTCCCAGTAGCCCATCTAGATGTAAAAAAAAAAAAAAAAAATAGCTCAAGTATGCATACACATCATTGCCTGTCTGTCAAAGCTTGCTTTTCTTTTTACACAGTCCCAGTTAAACTGCTCTCATTGCCTTCCTGAGCCTTCCTGAGTCTTTCCCTAATACATTGCTGGTTCCCAGCCCTGCCACACTCAGTCACCATCCCAAGGCTCCTGCAGGAAGTTTCAAGGGAGACCGAATGAAGGAAAGACAGGGAGGGTAGCTCAGAGTCATAAGAAGCCTGGATAGACTGTTAATAGAAGCTTACAGGACTCACTCAGGTGTACACAAAATAAACAGTCACCTGTAGTCTGTTACCTAGAATTTCACCATTAGAGATGTATTTCTTTGGTAAGATGTGTGCCTTAGAACTTTGCTATGATCCTGCATCTGTCCTTGTGTTTATCAGAGATTTGGAAATAACTACCAGAGATCACAGTTCTGAAACATCAAGTTGATTTGGGAGCAGATGCTAGAGGAAGTGTTCCTCCCGCTAGAAGGCATGCCTGGAAAATATTCTTAGTGGGTACCTTGCCAGGAGAGGAAGGTGATGAAAAGGGAGGTACCAACCCTGCATAATAGCCAACGTTGCAACGATTAAACCCTGCTGGAGACTGCACTTTGGCAGTAACAGACCAGGTATTTCAAAAGAGTCACACACGTCATAGCCTTGGAGTTTGACAAAGGGAACGTGGTGAGAGTAAATTTCCCCATAAGGCAACACATACCGCTCCCACTGCAAAGCACCCCAACCTACCCCACCCTATCCCAACAATGCAGTCTTACCTCCCACGAACTGTGCTGCGCCCATGCAACGTCCCATCATCCTGGAGATGAGCTCTTCCATGCAGCAGCCCAGGACAGCAGCCAGTGCCACCAGGAGCAACAGAGCACAGCCGGCACCTGTCACCACTGTGCACATCTGCCAGGCCAGACTTGGGATGGCACTGAAGCTGGCATAGCGCCCACACTCTTCCACCATGATCAGACTGTTCCCCTCTCCCCGCACAGGGTAGTTGCACCTCCGGAATGTGCTGAATGACACTGGCTTCCCCAGTTGGGATCCAAAGAGCCAGTAAGGCAGGAAGTAACTGGTAGAACTGGCCACAGCAGTAACAAGGGACAGGAAGGCCCAGAGGGTCCCCACCAGGGTCAGGCTGCTCCTCATGGTCCCAGGTTTCTCTGCAGGGGTGGGGAGATGAGTTGGATCACTGCACCAAATGCAGAACGTTATCATGCAGGCTCCATAAGCCTATTTTTCATCAGGCTGACCAGTCCTGGAACTCACTTAGGAATCACTTGGCCCTTGCTTCTGGAAAAGATTATTCTCTGGAGGACCCTCTGTGTCCTTATGGGATTCTGCTTTTCAACGCTTTTCCCATCTTCCCTTCTTTCTGCTTGATTCAGAACTGTATGGTATCTAGGCTGCAATGGAAGAACCATAGAGCTCAATTAATGATGGCCTTGCCAGCTCAGGTAAAACGCAATTAACAGTTTTAACTCTTGACTTCTAGCTGAGGGTCCCCTGGCTTCCAGAGGAATAGCCTTGCTGGCCTGGAGGCTCGAAAGGCAGCCATCTCTCAAGAGGGACAGGAATTACGTCTTGGAAATATGAAAGAAGGAAGCATTCTCAAGGTCTGTCCCCACTACAAGGGAGGACGGGAAAGCAGAGCTCATTTGACACAGTGAGTTGTCTAGCTGGATCAGTATGGGTTTTTCACTGGGAAACATCAACCAGGTGGAAATGGGTCGAAAAAAAATAAGGAATGCCTACTCTCACACCCCATGCCCTCACCAGGACAGCGATGTTCAGTCACTTTTCCCAAAATGAAAATGAGAGGCAATTTTGCAACCAGTGAGGGTCGTTTTACTCTAGACAGACACCGAAAAAAGTTGCCTCCACTTTGGCTGAATTTAGTCAAGAAAGCTTCTTATCTCTCTGAAATGGATCATGTACCCTTGCCTGGCAGCAGGAACACATAGCCATAAGGACCTTTCAAGCTGCCTTTTGGAATAAGTAATCTCAGATTCAAGATGATGAGAGTCTTTTCAGATCTAATCTTCAAGCCCAACTCACAAATGGCTTTCACAGGCCTCTCTGTCAAAAATCAGCCACTTCCCTCCCAACCCCATTCATCTGCCATTGCTTTCTGGCCTGTTTCTCGATTAGAGCTGCCAGAGACCACACTGCAGCTTGATGACAGCACTGCAAATGTCTGCTGCAGGCAGATGGTGGAATATGTTTCAGAAATTTCTCCATGATTCATCAGCATTGCTTAAAGTTACAGGTGGCAGGAGAGGGAAGTGAGGCGCGGGACTCCCCAGGCCGGGGAAGCACAGGAACTACGTCGTTGCCAACTTGGGACAAGGTCAAGAACAAGCAGCAGCTGTCCTCCAGGATGGAGTCTCAGGGACCGTGCCCAGCCATGAGCCTGCTCACAGCATGCTCAAACAATGCCTGGCACAGAGGCACTTCTGTGAAGTGAAACCCATCTCATAGACTCATCCAATTTCCAGGTCTGCAGGACCTTAACGAATCACCTAATTCAAACTTCTTGTTTTATGCATCGGGAAGTAAGGCCAAGTACAGAGGGAAATGATGATCCCGAGACCCAGCATAAGTTAGCAAGTGGCAACACGGAGCCAGAACCCTGATGGGCAGGTTCCTACAGCAGGGTTTGTCTTCCACAGGGTGCTAGGTAACTTCCCACTGCACACCCACCTACATATATATATATATATATATATATATATATGAGCAGTTCACAGATGGGAACATGAGAGGAAGTGATTTACCCCAGGGTAATGGGCTAGTCAGGTACACTGGCCAGACCAGAACCCAGTTATTTGATTCTTCATGCAAGGCTCTTTTTTCACTCTGCCGCAATCCCCCTCTTGATACATTTGTGTTGCGTGCTATGTGCTTTGTGCAGGAAGGGAGCAGAGATCATAAATTGCAGGTGCTTTCTTTGGAATGTTAGGGCTTGGGAAGAAAGTGCCCTGAGCTGGGCCCCTGGGAATAAGGCTTTGTGCCTGAGAGCAGGGAGGGGGATGAGAGAAAGATGTGATGAGGGATTGAAAGCCAACAGGAGAAGTGGAACGAGTTTTGAGTAATTGCTGTTAGAAAGCAGGTACGCTTGGCTGCAATGAGGTAATGCCTCTGCTTCTTATATTAGAGTTTGTAAGATCATGAAAAGTGCAAGCAGCCTTTTCTGTTACGGACTCGCTTCCTGGAGAAGAAGCCCAGGCCAGAGGATGAGAGGAAACAAGCTGATAAAGAGTTGCAGGCTGTTATCAGCATAATCCCTTTCCAATCCATTATTTGCTGTGCTCTCTGCCCAACAGGCCCCCCAGAGGGGCTGGTAAGAAAGACATTGTCCCCGTTTTCAAAGAAGGAAATTGAGAGTCTGAAAACTAAGCAACTTGCCCAAGATCACACCAGGATTCAACCACAAACCCGTTGCTGCTCACTTTCCTTCGCCAGCAACCTTTCCCCATATTCTCCCTCACTGCCCCATTAAGTAAAATAAAAGCCTCCATGATTTCCTAGCTATGATGTCAGAAAATATTTAAGGATGGGGAAGGATTTAGAGGGGAAGACAGTGAAGGAAGGAGGAGGTCCACTTTCTCCCAAAAGTGCATAAGAATAAGAGCATTCTTTGTTTCAAGTTCAGCAATTCGATGAGTGCTCAGGCTAGATGGTAGAAATTCGGGAGAGGTTGACATCAGGTTATCAGCAGCAGCAACAGATCAGGCTGCTACAAAAAAAAAAAACACACAATACTGCTGACAACTGTCCCCATAATTTCATTTTTTAAATGACAGTTTGGAGTCAAGACGTAGGAAGACGGAATCACAGAATTCAGTTGAAATTAAAGATGTTTTGCTTTCAAAAAACTCATTGGCCTTCAGAATTTAAGTTTAGTACTTTCAATGTCAAGAAAAATTCACTGCTCTTATCTCATGTGGGCCCACGATGAGATGACTAAAGGTGCCTGGGAGTTTTACTAGAATGTGGGACGTTCAGTGATAAAACTGGGAAAGTCCTGATCTTGAAAGAGTTTGTTGTCCTATTCAGGACTCAAAGTATGGTGACCTGGCACCATCTACAACCAGCAGGTTGAGAGTCAGTCACTGCCACCGATAATTCTGTAATGTTCTCTCAAGGACTCAAATCATAGAAAGCAAAAATTAGCATGAAGTTAAACACTGGGGAAGCGAAGCCTATACACTTTGGGTGTAAACCTTCTGAATCATAGGCTTCACCTTATGCCAACAAGAAAGAAATCCTAGAGACCCAATTGCTTGATATTCAACCTGAATCAATATTCAGGTTATTCTCTCTCTTACTCTCTCTTGCTCTCTCTTGCTCTCTCTCTCTCTCTCTTGCTCTCTCTCTCTCTCTCTCTCTCTCTCTCTCTCTCTCTCTCTCTCTCTGGCTCGCTCTCTCCATGTTTCATAGTCCCAC